CACTCTTTCTTATCCAAGTGCCACCAACTTGTAGGAAAGCAGCTTGAGCACAGCTAACAAAGGGAGACAACATACACAGCAGTTTTGCACAATAGCTTTTGGGCTCTGCTTCTAGTGCTGTGATGTGATCTTCTAGGACAGGGTGTGATCCCCAATACCCACTGGAGCAACTACTCAAAATATCAGCGCTTCAGCTCAGATTGCTGTCCAGAGAAAGGAGGCTATATTACTTGTCTCAGGCTGTAGGGAATGCCCAGAGTCTTTACTTACCTTGGGCAGGGGAAGAGATGGGTTTGCCTGCAGATGTGTGTGGTCATGGAAGATCTATGTCACCAAGTCAAGCTGCTTCAGAAGGAAGTCAGTGGACTGTTCAGTGTCACAGATGATGACAAGGAGATTGACTGGATCTTCTCTGAGACAGTGCAGATACAGGAACTTGAACCCGCAGCTGTGCAGAGGGAGAGGCAGGCAGAATCTGTGCTTGTTGGGTTGGGAAAAGGAGATGACTGGCAGCTTGTGACTTCTGGCAAGAGAAGGGAGGTTCCTGCTGCTGATCCACAGCTGCAGAACAGATTCACTCCTTGGTAGCAGATGAGAGGCTGGTGGCTCTGTGCAACAAAGAATCTGAGCTGTCAAAGTCTGAACCACACAGGAGCACCGGGAGGAAAAGGTGAGTGATAATAGTGGGAGACTTTCTCCTGCAGGAGATTGTGATGCCCATTTTCTGACCTTACATGCTAGCCGGGGGGGTTTGCAGCTTGCTGTGGGTTGGATCCAGGACTGCAGAGGGTCGTCCAGCTCTTGCATTGTTACCCCTGCTGCTCTTCTATGTGGGCACCAAGGATACTGCCAGAGAGAGCTGGAGCATATCAAGAGTGGCTCTGGAGGCAAAAGTCAAAGGCATGGGGGCCCAGGTGACTTTTTCCTCAATTCTGCTGGGGAGATAGAAGGGCTGGCAAACCTAGTGAGGATAGCTTTAAACTAGGGATGAAGGGGGAAGAAGGTGATCTTAAAGGTCTTTTCCAACCTTAATGATTCTGTCATTACTCTGAAACAAGTGAGGAAGTGACGGCCTAGACTGGAAAGCAAGAGGAAGGGGTGATGTGAATAAGAGGGGCAAAACAGTGCAGAAGGCTGCCCACCCCAAATGTGTGTATGCAATTAAGGAAGTGCTGAGAAGACAGCGTTATGGGAGAAGCATTCATAATTTTTCTGGTTAGAAAAATTGTTTTAACCTGGTTTGGCAGGTTAGAGCTCAAGTGGATTGATACAGTTAATACAGAAACTTCATTCTATTTCTACTTTTTGTGTATGGTATATAATTATCTGCAATTGGGGGTAAACTTTTGCTGTCAGATGCACTTTGTGTGTGCATGTATCAAGATTTATATAACCCATTGTGTTCTCTATTTTTATCAAAATTTTTGCCTTGTAGGCCAGTGCAGTTACATGTGCTGCAATATAAAACCTAAGCCAAAGTGTGTATCTCATTACTTTAAGGAAGTCTTCTGTGCTTTTTTATCTTCCTGTCTTGGTATGAAATAAATGTCACAACCACACTTACTGCAGCAAGAAATTAAGTTTATGTTCTCATTTTTGTTGTTGTTTTTAATCATATAGGGTTGCAAATGCAAAACTTAACAATTTTTCTCGCCTGGAACCCACGCTTCACCTCCTTGGTGTACAGTTTAATGAGAATGTGGCCCAAGACATCATGACGGGACAGCATGGGGCTGCAACAAAACTTTTATATGAATTGTATATTGCTTTAGGAAAAAAGAGAAAGGCAAAGCTCACTGGAGTAGCCATGGAAGCAATGAGACCTGCAGCAACTGCAAAGCTTAAGTCTATTGAAAGTGTATTGTATCGAGAGGTAACTATGCCTATTTCATATAAATATATAGGAAAAAAGGTGGCATATTTACATGCACCTGTGAAGTATGTTGCATGCTTCCCCTCCACGCTTTTTAGATCTATTCAAAACCCAATACTTAAATGGAAAAGAAGTGACTTATGAGGATATTGGTCATCTGTGTTTTACGTTCCTTTGTTTTGGCTCATTCTGTGTTACCTGCTCTGTTTTTAAGTTTTCTCCAGACTTAATATACGTATAGCAACAAAGGTTAGTAGTTATTCTGCAACTACTGTTCTACTCATTTGATCAGTACAGATTACAGCCTGTATTGCTGTCTAGGTATCAACATGGACTAATTTCACCTCCAGAAAACTTATTTAAAACTGTGTTGAGCTTCGTGCCACAGTGGTTTGGTTCCTTCTGTTGCACATCTTTCCATATATTTATACTATACTCCAGCCTGCAATAACCATATGATGAGTAATATGAAGAGGAAAAAACAAAGGGGAAAGAGAGTATCTAAGAGGGAGTCAGTATCAATGTAGTAGATTCTGTTAGGGGCGTTCTCCTTGTCTTCAGCAGTAACATTCAGCGTGTGCAGACCACAATTTTTTATCCGGATGAGTAATCTTTAAGAAGCTTTGTATCATGAATCAAATTCAGCTGGGTGAAATTTTGTATTTTTTTTTGACACACTTCCTGGAAGATAGCCTACAAGTAGAAAGTTTACCAACAAGTGCAAGGATAGTACCAGTTGAAACATCCCTTCACTTGTAGAAGGGATAGCTTAAAGAAGATAAAGCAACTGAGAGTAGCTCAGTTGAGATAGGTTCAGAATGGCATTTGAGTTGTAGAATAGTTGAGCTTGGAAGGGGCATCTAGAGGTTACTTAATCCAGCCCCCGCTCCTAAGGCTCTGAGCAAAGTAAACTATAGCAGGTTCCTCAGGACCTTGTTCAGTTGATTTTTTAATATCTCCAAAAATGGAGACTTCACAGCCTGTCTGGGCAAATTGTTCATCACTCGTTCAGTACTTTTTTTTCCCTTACATTTAAGTTGAATTTTCTGTATTTCAGTTTGAATAGAATAGAATAGAATAGTTCCAGTTGGAAGGGACCTACAATGATCATCTTAGTGCAACTACCTGACTACTTCAGGACTGACCAGAAGTTAAAGCATGTTATTAAGGACATTGTCCAAATGCCTCTGACAGGCTGGGGGCATTGACCACCTCTCTAGGAAGCCTGTTCCAGTGTTTGACCATCCTCTCAGTAAAGAAACGCTTCTTAATGTCCAGTCTAAACATTGCCTGGTGCAGCTTTGAGCCATTCCCATGCATCCTCTCACTGGATACCAGGGAGATCAAGCACTTGCCTCTATACTTCCCCTCTTCAGGAAGCTGTAGAGAGAAATGAGGTCACCCCTCAGCCTCCTTTTCTCCAAACTGAACGAAGTTTGGCATCAAGTTCAAATCGACGTGTTCTTTTCAATGGAGCCAGTCTTGTTTTTCTGAAACATATGTGACCATGTTTAGATGTTGTTCTGTGTACATTAACACAGGAAAACACAGTTTGAAATGACTGTCACAAAATTATCAGGTTTAAATATGTTACTGTTTCTGACACTTCATTGCTGCTTGTTTAATTTTAGCGTTTGAAAACTTTAACACCACGTCAGACTGATTTGCAGCTACAGCAGATTTCAGAACATTTTGAAATAAAATCTAAGGCAATAGAAGATAAAGCAGCTTGTATACACATTGCAGAACAACAGAAAGTTCAGAAGCTCCAGGAGGAACAAAGAGCTCAAGACATTGAAAAGGTGACTACTTATTTTTTATGGATTTCTGAAGAAGAGTTTTCTCAAGGTCATGTACATAATGAGTTAGTTAAAACCAGTGAAAATGCTTCTTAATTCTGTGCTACACATTCATGTTTATACAAAAGCAAAGAAAAGGAGTAAGCATGGCAATCATTAGTATTTAGATATAAAGCCAATACACTGTTAAAAGACACTTAAAAACTTTAATAATAACTTAATGTTAAATTGAGAGTGTTTGCATATTGTCATGCATGGAAAGTATTTATAGATTTGAAGACAAAGTGTAAATTTCACAACTGTATGTGTTCAAGGTGGCCTTGTAAAAGAGATTTGTGACATTCATTTGTGAAGAAAAGATGAAGCATTTTTCAAAAGCAGGAAGAAGACACAGGGAAAGGGACCTGTAGTTGGTATGGCCTCAGAACATCCTGTAGCTCTGTGTAGCTGTTCTGATAAAGTAAAAAAGAGGAACTAACTTCTTAAGATACGGGAACACTTATTCGAAGTACAGCCTGTAGTTTCTATAAAGGCACTGGCAAGCAGTCCAAGGGGTGTTGAACCACCATGAAAATGAAGTTGACTAATTTGAGATGCATTATATATGGCTAATTAGAGAGAGTCTTGCTGTGGTTATTTAGTTGCTCTATTGCCACTGCATGCACAAGAATGAAAAAAAAATCCCTTCATATATCTAGAAAAGAAAATACATGCAATGTCCAAAATAAACTTTTAAAAGAAAATTTATTAATATCT